AACACTTGCACATGAAAGCACTATGGAATTTCTTGGGGCACCAAAGCATCCCATTTTTCTAGAAAGTACACCTGCCTCCGGCCGAGCCGGGGTCACGTCGCGATTGTTATGATGACAATGGAACACTGACCAGCATGCCAGGGGCTGCCACCACTCACCGAACGTTCGCGCATGTACTCGTGGTGTTTCTTGGGCAGCACATTCTCGCACAGTCCCTCCTCGACGTCGTCCTCATTCAGAGGCTCCACCTCCACTGGGCACAGAGACCTGGGGTAGACCGACATATCATTACAAACAGACACTAGACCCAGCCTGCTACGCTATACTATGAATCAATAGCAAATCACATCCTGACGGACAAGTGAAATGCTTGGGACCAGGCACACTATCACCTGTAAATTACAACTCTCCATGCACTGTGCACTGTGCTCTGTGCTCAGGCCTCTGTGCCCCAAGGATGTAAAGCCTCCACCAGGCACAGAGACCTGAGGTAGACCGACATATCACTACAAACAAGTACCAGACCCGGCCTGCTGCACTCCACTATGAATCAATAATGAATCAAATCCTGACAGACAAGTAAAATGTTCGGGACTAGGGTATATATTTTGACAGAACAAACATCAGTTTAGAGCCAACAGTCAACCTCAACCAGAAACTCACTCAGTCAAGAAAAAGCTACTCTCTGCACACTTCTTGAGACAGTAGAGTGCACACGGCTTCTTGGCAAACTCCACAATGCCATTGCCCGTAGATTTTCCGCGCTCGTCCACCACCACTGTTGCTCTCTCCAGCTGGAACACGATCTCAAATCAACAACCAACAGCAGGTTTCAACACATAAAAGGTAGCCACTATACATAGTTATTTACTGCTAACCCCATCTGCACATGGCTGCAACAGGGAAGGACTAAAGTCAACAATCATTGAAAAGGTGGGATGTTTATTCTGATTTCAGAACTTTTCGTCTCATGGCTACAATTAACATGTCCTGTAGAATCCACAAAAAGCCCACAGACCAAGCATGAGTTGTCAATACATTACCTTTTACACGTATCTTTGAGGATTGGAGAAACTCAAACAAAGTAGACTTGAACCCCTTACCAGCAGTCGGACCAATTACCACGCGCGTGACGACAGGCAGCGACGTCAGGGATGGGCTCACCTCGCCGAACACGGAGAAGGCCAGCTCGAGCAGCTCGTTGCTGACCCAGGGCGAAAGCCGCTTCACCTTGAGGCTGCAGCCCATGGCCGAGAAGCGCACCTTCAGCATGCGGCCATTACGCATCGTGCCGTTCAGCGCCTGGCGCGCCTTCTCCGCGTTTTCCCTGTAGTCCTGCAACGCATCGGCAGCACGGTGTGCACGCTGGATGCTATCATCCCACAGTCACTTACCAGCAAGCTATGATGCTCCCCAGAACACATAACTGTGCCAAATAATGTGGAGTCAATTGTTTGACAAAATGACACAAACAATAACATTTCTCAGAACAGTCACCAAGCACAAACAGATTAAATTTTAGTTTAATTTCTTTCACTTGGTTTCCAAATTTCAGTCATATTCAGTTGTAGAAATTGCCCTGCCATTACATCATTAAATGGTAATTCTTACCAGTTTGACAAACCAATGCCTTCTCCAGGTTGATATATGGGCTCGGCAATCTCGCCAAACACAGATGAACATTTCCTGAAACTCTTCCATAGTAGTGTCATCTGTGAGGTTACGACGAACACAGCGGCACTTGTTTGTGAACTTCTTGGTTCTCCTTGTTGTCATTTACAGGAAGATCAAAGCTGGGTCCCAGCAATCATCTGAAGTTTGTCATTCATGCGATCCTGAAAGACAACCATAGTTATAAACCAGGCACCCACTGTAAGTAACACACATTCTGTTCAGACTACTCTGACCTCAGAGTGCAAAATTATAATCCCATACATACATACATACATACATACATATATATATATAATATATATATATATATATATATATATATCTATCTATCTATCTATCTATCTATCTATCTATCTATCTATATATATATACATCTCTCCTATTATACTCTATATATTTTATATATATATATATATACATATATACCACCATAGTATATCACATCAACAAAGCAAACAAATCTTCACACCCCATTTTCTTGGCATAACAATTCTGCCGCACTTGCAAAGACACATTTTAACTAATGGTCCTGGTGAACATGTTTTGCTATAATTATGACACCAAAGGACAAACGTGGTTAAGCAAGGCAGTTCTCTTATTTACATTTATCCTAGATTGTACACCCCAATAACAAACCAAGGAATGGAACCTATGAGAAGACCACTGCTTGGTAACTACATGGAGACATGCTGCATTCTTTCATGGTTCAGTGGCATCTTTCTTTGATCAGACCTCTCTATGTGTGACTGGGGTTTCATGACACACTCAACTATTGAGGCCATATAGTGGCTCATTTTCACGTGATGCTGGTTATGCAAAGAATTGGACCTAGTATGGAGCTAGGAGTGATGAACAAAAAGCATAGCACAGCATTCTGTTTGCTCTGGGCTTTATGAATGTGAGGTACTGATGAGCACATAGCACCTTTTCCTTGTTTTAGGAGACAGAACTAGTGATCAGAACTAGTGATCAGTCATCAGCCCAATGGAATAAAGGGCCACTTCCAGATATCCTGGTCTCATGGCCCAAAGCCCCTGGATCCCCACACCTTTCCTAGCTAATTTCAGTTAGGCATGACTTGTTTTACCATTTACCTCTTCACCTGCATCAACAATGCTTGTCACCTTAGCATGGCAATGCTCCTGAAGTTGTCAGCATCTGACAAACAAAACTAAGCTTGCTGCATTAGTGGAAACATCTCTGGACACCTACCATGACACACTGCAAGAGATTTTGCTAACGTGTCATGTCCAAAGACCTCTAGTACCACTCATACAAGTCTCCAGCTCCTCTTTTCAACTGATTTCCTCCTGCAACCCTTAGAATGTGGATACCAGAAGATTACTCATGTAGTAAGTACTAACACTAATACACTGATGGTCCAGCATCTATCATGCATAGCTCCCAAAATAACCACTCACCTACATCTTTGAATGGTACCCTCAGTGTGCATGGCAGTAAATGACAACTGAGAATGTCATGCAATAACTGATGCTTGCTGTTCTGTGATATTACAGTCTCATGGTGGTGATAATGGTCACTGCACTCTATAGCCCCATGCACTTAAGATGCGGTAGGAAATGTGAGTGAAGAAAAAAAGTTACAGGCAATACATCCTGCAGATGACAAAACATCAATCCTAAGTTGAACATGTCCAGGGTAGGGCATAATACTGCCATTATTATTTCACAATATGCACACAACAAATCTATGAACCAAGTTTTGAACACAGTTACCACCAATTTCAGTACATAGGCAATGCTGAAGGAATTATGATTGCTAAGATAATGACCAGCAAAAATGATCACCAAATGTGCTTTCAGTTGGATAAAAGAACTGCCCAACTTTGAAATCATACAACCCAAATGACATCTTTAGCATAAAAAAAATGAGGGGGCACAATTATCATCACTGATTTCATGGTTTTGGCCATTGCTGCTCACAGTGCTGTTATGATAGATTGTTTGTCACTCACAAAACTACCATGCAACACTGTTATTATCTCTGCAAGAAGCCAGCAGTTTCATGTATGACATACCGATGGCAGAGGATAAATAAGATGTACTAAAATGGCGAAATAATCATCATGTCCCGGATATGCAAGCACCCTAGAAAAATCGTAATTTTTCACATTTATGCTCACATTTTCTGCTGGTGCAGTTAACTTTCATACAAATCATAATCCTGATAATTTTGTTGATATATGATAACTTACGGTCAATCGCACACCGATCAGAAAGCCGCGTCCCCATTTACCGTATTATTGCTCTTCTTGCACCTCCTATATCATTTCAAGTTGTGGCACTTGAATTCACATTTCCAATGGACAACACATGTAAAGAACCAACAATGTTGCTTGACATAAAGCACTTCCAGAAATCCCAAGGAACTGGACCGAGCCCCGCAAACCGAAAACTGAAGCAAAGCCCACGTTTTCGGTACGTTACATACACGTCAATTGGCGCAGTGCACCTCATACACGAGTCCAGATAATGTGACTCACACTTGTAAGACATAAACAACATCGTGCCGACAATGTCGCTTGAGCTACAAAAACTTCGGTTCAATGATCATGACTCATCATTGCCGTGAGATGTTGCCATCAAGCCGTGAGGACTAACTGCAGTAACACCCTTTTAGTAGTGCACCTTACGTACAATTTCCGTTGGCGTGAGCTGAAAACCGCTCTGACATCCAACGACATGCTCTGGCCGGGATAAGATGCCCACAGAGATCTTAAGGAAATAAGCCAAGCCCCGGAAACCAAGACCGAAGCAGAGCCCACGTTTTCGGTACGGTACATACACGTTTATTGGCGCGGTGCACCTGATGCACGAGTCCGGATAATGTGATTCAAACTTACTAACGTGGGCTTTGCTTCTATCTTGGTTTCCGGGACTTGGCTCATTTCCTTGGGATTATGTTGGCATATTATCTCGGCAGTGTATGTCTTTGAAAGTCAGAGCGGTTTTCAAGTCTCACCAGTGTTGGGAGAAACTTGACGTTTCCTGGTATATGTATACTGGGATATTTTGTACTTCACGATTGTGACCAGGTAAAATGAAATATTTTGTACTCCCATCATGATCTAACAAGAACAACTTTTGGAAAAAAACCCATTTTACACCTTTGTGTCAGGACAAAATAATACCAGAAGGTGCAACAGCTTCAGACTTGCTGCTTTCGTCAGCAGCCATGTATTTATATCCACGAGAGCACAAATCTTGCACCCACCAGACTAAGTGGCCAATAGCAAGCAGCCTGTGTTGCACCTAGATATGTGATAAACCACGCATGAAATGTAAAAAATAAAGGATGTGAATTGAATGGAATCGCCTTGGACAATGTCGGGACGGGACGAGTATAAGCGAGTACCAGAATCACACCAGTCTGTAGGATTAACAAAGCTCTCACTTTCTATGCCCTACGCAGATCAACTCAAACTTGAACATGACTTAACCTACCATTGACGACGAACCGCATTAATTGCCAAGGAATGCAACGAACATTCGTAGAAACACCCGCACACCCGATCGCCTACCGCAGACGGCCGCCTACCACGCGCCACCACTGTGTCATGACAATGTGTCATGACAAGAAGCGAGAATCACTCGCAATTCAGCGTCGGAAACGTCTCAGCTATTCAGCGGCTTGCGCCCGCCTCCCAGCTCAGGTTGGAGGTTTGAACATAGCAAACTCTTCAACTGGTTTCAATGATTCGCCTACTCATGGCTTGATTTGTCAAGAGCATAAAACCTTCTGCTCTCGCTCATGCCTTGACAGATTCGTAAACATTTGCAGGGGAGCTGTATAGAGGAGTGGGCATCACAATTATGAAGAGCCTTATTTGTACTTATCCAGAACTGCCATAATGGTTGGATTTTGGCCACCTGGTATCTGGAGTACAAAAATGTTATGGCAGTTGTGGATTTAAACCAACTTAAATTTGTCACTTACAGGTTTAACTTTAAAGCTGGTAATTCAGGCTTTACAAAAATACCCCTTTCAGTCGAAAAACATCACCATAAATAGCCAAAAAACTGTTCACAGACAGCCATTTCACTCTGGCAAAAACATCACGACACCAGAGTAGCATGAACCCATAACTTTGGCCAGACAAATTAAGGAAAAGGCTTTAGTAGAAGAAACACATCCAATAATTGCAACATAAATTATCATATTTTGCAATATCGGTTAAAGCGCTTCAAAATCAATTAATACCTTGCATTATCTGCCAGAGTCAGCAGAATGACTGACTAGGATCCTTTTAGGCCGGCCTGCACAGGTCTGTCAGGCATTGCACTTGTGCTGGCTCGGCAAATCGGTTAAGAGTGCTGCCTGTCTTTATTGTTCAGGAGGGATGTGCAGGGCCTCCTGTTGACTGGGAGTATGAAGGTGGAGGGCACAAATGTTTAGATGTTTTTAAAACCAGTTAGCTGGTGGAGCCTGAGTTAGCGTGATCATGGCGGGAGTATGAGTATGGTGGCCATCTGTGGCATGTCATTTGCTTTTTTGTGTAGCCTTTTTGTCTGGCTGTGAGGCATTGTACCAACTCTCCATTTGGGAGGGTGTATAAGAGCTCAGTGTGTAGCCACCCTCTATTTTGGAGTGTTATAAGCCGCAATGTGTAATTATCCTCTGTTTTGGAGGGTGTACACACAGAGCCTTTCATAAATTGCAAACCAATGTATATGCACATGTTTTAGCAGTACACAGTATAAGCTTGTGTTATTTCAGTGTGCCAGGTTTAATACTGATGCTTCCTTTCACTTAAAGTGCTTTGGACATGAATTGCTGTATATGTAAAGTGGCACTTTTGTTAGTGCCACCCACTGTACTATTAGCTCTCAAAGATAACCTAAATAAAGCTTGTAAAGCCCCACTATAGAAACTTTGTACCTCCGCTACCAGGGGGAAACTTTCTGGAATTTCCAACACTGGGGTCT